GTTGGAGTATGCACGTCACCTCTCAGGGTTGGAGAGACATGAAAGTATACTGCCTTTATTACATGGATCTGAGAAGAAAACAAATGGTGAATTGGATTTTCTGATGGCAGAGTTTGCAGGTAATTGGTAGTGTTTGTCTCCTCTCGCTCTCTCGTTTTCTCCTTCATTTGAATTAGTCAACATGATTTCCAATTGACTTTATGTTATTTGAACTTTTAGTGGGATACGGCTCTTTTCCTGCATGGTCTGTTGTTAGTAATACCACAACAAGTTTTGAAGTCTTATTTTAGGAATTTTAGTGATAATTTCTTCCAAATGGTTTGCAGAAGAATTAGTATTTCTTGCAATGTTTATTATGGAGCAGCTGTTTGCCCTCAATATGAATTTCCAATGAGGAACACTTATATTTTGGGAACTTCTCTTGTTTTTATGGTTGCAGAGGTTTCTGGGCGTGGAAGAGAAAATGGAAATCTAGACTCCATGCCTAGAATTTCACATAAAACAGTGGGTAAGAAGGTTGGACCAATTGCACCTAATGAAGGAGCTGCTTCCACATCTGGTATTGTATCTCAAACAGCATCTGGTGTATTGTCTGGTTCGGGTGTTCTAAATGCTAGACCAGGGAGTGCAACATCATCTGGGTTACTTTCCCAGATGGTATCGGCAGAGGTTGCAAGGGAATACCTGGAGAAAGTGGCGGACCTTCTGCTCGAGTTTTCTCAAGCTGACACAACTGTAAAATCCTACATGTGTAGCCAAAGCTTGCTTAGCCGTCTTTTTCAGATGTTCAATAGAATTGAGCTCCCTATTCTTTTGAAGGTACATAAGAGAGTGTTCTGCAGCTTTGTGTTTAAACATGTTTGAGTATTTTTTTATATGCTATCTCACCTTGCTGCTCTTTATTGATTTACAGATACTTAAGTGTATCGATAATCTGTCAACTGACCCAAACTGCTTAGAGAATCTTCAGCGAGCAGATGCAATTAAGTACTTGATTCCAAATCTTGAACTCAAAGATGGACCTCTTGTAGATCAAATTCATAGTGAGGTTTGCCTTCCCAAGTTACTTCCTATAATTTTAGTAGTTTGTGACTATGACAAGCTGCCTTTTTACTGTCAATGAATTTGCTTTTATAAAAAATATGAATACGAGTGTCTTTCTGTCATCTAATAAATTTTGGTCCCCAAGGCACATGGAATTTCTAATTTACTCCAAGGACCTTTCATTAGCTGCTGTTCTGTTTTAGATTTGTTTGTGTTTGTATTTTAATATTACACTTGTTGACATTTTAGAAGTACAATGTTCTCGTTGTGATACTATATACACTCTAGGTTCTTGGATCATCTCTTCTGCAATTTATAATCCCTGTTCCTTACATTACCATTCATTTGCCTTGGTATAGTCAACTAGACATTTGGTCTTGTAGTGGAAAAAACGACATACCAGTTACACCTCAAGACAACCTTTCATTCTATGCATGCTAAGTCTCATGTTGCAAGTTCTTCTCTTAATCTAGGAAGAGAGGACATGGCAGTTGCACTGCAATGAAAGCTTTCATTCTATGGTTACCAAAATTATCGCATATCAAGTTCTTGCCTATCTCTTAAATATGGTAACTGTGTGGGTGCTTATGTATGAAATGTGAACTTCAATTTCTGTCAAAAGCTGCTTAGGTCATCTTCATCACTTGTTATCCTAGTTTCATGGCTAAATTGGTTTGGTTTGTTTATGTTGCACAAGTTTTTTTATTAGTGGATTTAATTATTGCAAGCATTCCAGTTCTCATAACGTTTGCTGAATTTTATTGTTTGAAGGTCCTCAATGCACTTTTTAACCTCTGCAAGATAAATAAGAGGAGACAGGAACAAGCTGCTGAAAATGGAATCATTCCACACTTAATGAATTTTATTATGTCAGATTGTCCTTTAAAATCACATGCATTACCTCTACTGTGTGACATGGCTCATGCATCACGTAATTCAAGGGAACAATTAAGGGCCCATGGTGGATTGGATGTATACTTGAGCCTGCTTGATGATGTGGTTTGGTCAGTGACAGCACTGGATTCAATTGCTGTTTGCTTGGCTCATGACAATGACAACCACAAAGTGGAACAAGCATTGCTAAAAAAGGATGCAGTTCAGAAATTAGTGAAGTTTTTCCAGTGCTGCCCCGAACAACAATTTGTGCATATATTGGAGCCATTCTTGAAAATTATCACGTATGAACTTTTCTCATCTTTTTATTCATTTATTCATTACCAGTTGTTAAGTTTAACTCACGAATGGCAATCCATTGGTCAATTCAATTGTGAAAAAATGAACTATGAAAGAAAAACTAGTAAACCGTGCAGATCCTCTGTGACCCAAACTTCTTAAATTATCAGTATTTTATCAGCATTTCAATCGTACGTGTTGAATGCAGGAAATCATCCCGGATAAATACAACTTTAGCTGTTAATGGCTTGACACCTCTGCTCATTGCAAGACTGGATCATCAAGATGCCATAGCTCGTCTTAATCTGCTTAAACTAATAAAGGTGAAATTTTGCATCTCCTCACTGTCCTTTCTTGACTTTTACCGCTGCACTGAGGAATAACTTATAACATATAGATCAATGTTGCTTGTGTTGTTGATTCTGCTGATGTTATCTTGTGCTAGTGGTAGGTAGAAACCTTGTTTATCTCAATTATGTCTGCTTCAATAATAATTTTTAGTGTATATTTGTTCCATTATTTTTTTCGATGTATGCAATTCATATGGTGATTGATCTCTCCTTGCTCCAATGATCCATCTTTTAGGATATCTTCTTAACAATCAATGTAAACATTGTTTAGTAGTTTCTCCTCCACAGCTAAAAGAACCAGCAATGCAAGTCTGCTTAGCATGGTGTCTTAGCATGTCAAAAAACCACCAGCTTGTTCTTTTTTATATTATCAGTAATTAAGTGGCCAAGCACGTGTTTGTTTTTATCACCATGAGCCTAAGACATCACATTGTAGCATATTTGGTGGGGAGAGAAGACCCTAGAGCTTGCCCTTTTTTCAGCAATCTCGTTCAGTTATTTTTTTCCATGCTGAAAGCTGCATTTGAAAGTAGGTGTTTGGTTCTATGACCATACCATGAATTACTCAATGAAATTTGATGTGCAGGCTGTGTATGAGCACCACCCACGTCCAAAGCAATTGATCGTGGAGAATGATTTGCCCCAAAAACTTCAGAACTTGATTGAGGAACGAAGGGACGGGCAAAGCTCCGGAGGCCAGGTGTTGGTGAAACAAATGGCTACTTCGCTACTTAAAGCACTCCATATAAACACTGTTCTGTAAATTCGTGTCTCCCAGTTTCTTTTCAAAATGTATATGGTTTTTTAGGAAATTTTATTTGTTAGATTTGTTTCCCATTAAAAACATGGTTTGCTTGTGTGTGTGTGTTTGCAATCATGTGGATGCAACAAGTTTTTGGAGAGTGTTCTTCTTATCCAGGAGGTCTCAGAAACTCGAGAGTTCCAAAGGATGGCTGTCTTTTTGCATTGGCGAACTACCAGGTCGATTTTTTCCCCCCTCCCCCCCAATCTGTTCTTAAATATTCTAATTTAAACTCCAATGTTTGTAGTGCTAACTGTTTATAATTTCATGACTTCTTTCTCCTCCTTATAATGGATTGTTCATATATCATTTATTACTAGCTTTTAATTTGGAGACAGGATTTCTTCCGTGGAATAATTTGACTGGTCAAAGTGGCTATAACAGCTGCTTTTTATATGGTGGCCTCTCTCACATAATTGTATCGTGCCCCCCACTCAACTTGCTTTTGCGATCTAGTTTTTACTGGGTCCTGGGTCCTGGGTCCTGGGTGGGTGATGATGATGCATGAGGTTGAAGTTTTCAACTTTCAAGGATTTTTTTAATTTAGAAAATTAAGTAATATATTTAATAATCTTGTTTTTTCTAGTTTGTTTAGGTTGGATTTTGAGTTAATTTAAGGAGTTGTAAGTCTTTTAGATATATACTACTAGGGGACGATAAATATTTAATAGTTAAATTATAAAAAATTAGTCAATTTCCCTTTTTTGTTTAATTTCTTTATATGGTTGATAACCTAAAAATTCCCAGGACACAAGAAAGTGATAGGCCTTGCCGTAAATATATTAGCTAATCTAGATCTCCAACAAGTAACACAACAAATAAATGAAGGTGCTTGCATAGTATGTGTTAGCTGCCTAGGAACCATTCAAGGCTTTGCCTCTTCCAATCCACCATGGATTGCAATAGTTACCCATGATGTTTTATATATTATTTTATATTGAATAATAAATAGCAATTATATAAATATCTAAAACTAGACATTTAAATTCTTTACTGGTTTGGTCATCAATAAATAGAATATAAATATAGTAAAACCGACCAATAAATACCCATTGACATCCTTACTTAAATGCATTGTAACATGGCAGTGGTAATAATATTTTTTAAGAAAATCTATGTTCTTGCTACTTTAATTTCTTCCTTGACAAAGGTTTTTTTTTGTCCCCATCAAAGACTTGGATTTCTTAAAAAGTTTAATTAACTGTATGTGTTGCACTGGGAAGAACAAATCTTTTTTTTTCCTTGTCTACTATCTCTTTTAATAAGTTCTTTTTGAGGGAAACGATTGAGAATTAATCAACTCTGCAACTAGATTTAGTTGGATATTTTTTAACGCAAATCAATTAATTATCAATCAATTAGTTATATAGCTAGCAGTCTTAAGAAGCAAAAGCCTGAGATCTGCTTATTATTTACTTGACTTTTTTCGGTTCAAACTTGAACTAGCACCTAGAAAAAATAATTAGTGTCCATGGCCGACGTGAGGGTGTGTTTTAATATCATTCAGGGAGGGAATTATCTTAGTCATAATTTCATTTCAGTCCCATTTATTTCATTCCAATCAATTCAGTCCAATTAAATTGAACTAATTCGATTCAGCCAATTCAAAGCATGTTTTCGGTTTGATTTTGTCCAATTGATTCAATCTAGTCCAAGATTCAAATTAAACCCCAAATCCCTGCAAAATAAACCCAGATTCTAATCAAGTCCCAGAAATCATTCAATATTGCATTAATTCCATATTCTCTCCTATAAAAAAATGGTGGACATCAGGGAATTCCAATGAGGGGAACCAAGAAAAAAAAACAAGAAACAACAACAGAGAACCAACAAAGAAGTCTGGAAATGTTTCCAGATTTCAACCGAACCAGAGACCCACATTGCTATAGCCATCCTTTCAAACACAAACCAACACCATACCATTAGATCTTGTGCTATCTCCACCATATCCCAACCTTTATAGACATTATCATCTTCCTTACCTTCAATTAACCCAAAACAAAGAGCACCAGGGAGAGGAAAATACTAGAAATTTCATCCTCCTTTTCTTATGAACGAATACTGGAAATTTCTCCAGTTTCTCCTCCACTCGGTCCCTTCTCTCATTCAATCTCCTCCATGCTCCCTTTTTGAAATGTTGAAAGTTCACTTCACCTAATCTATATCAAGCTCTTTCTTTCCTAATTCATGATCGCTCAGAACAATTGGCCTCTTCACTTGTTGATTCCCAGATCCAAAATACAAACCCGCTGCTTCATGCATATATTCTCTCCTGACCTGTTTGGAGACTTGAAACCTTCACTTCAGCAGTTGTGTGCCCGAAGGTGCCATTCTTTCCTTTTTGTCCAAGTTAAGCTCACTCACACAGTTTTGCGTTTCCTAATTTGATTTCTACCTTTGTTTTCGGGTGGCGGGCAGGAGCAGCAGAAGCATTGAGATGTTTGGGATTTAGATTTTGTTTGATTTTTGTGTGTATATGTGCGCCTGTATGTGTCAGCAGCTGAAAAAAAGATGAAAAAACACATAAATTGCAATAGTCAATGGCCCAATAGCCGCTCGATAGCTGGAGCATGGAGGTAAGGGTTATTTCTGCAGAAAACGTTAAAACAATCTTGAAATCGTGTTTTTACGCATTGTCACCTGATTTCATCTATTTTTAAGTTTTTTAAACGATTTAGCATGTTAAACCTACATTAACTCAAAAAATTATTTTAATAACCTTAGATATATATTTATTTGTTGAGAAACATGAATGTAAGGTGGATATTACCACTATTATCTTTAAATAGAACCATTATCTTTTAACATAACGATTTTACAAGTCAAATTATAATTTTAATAACCTTAAATATATATTTATATGTCGAGAAACATGAGTGTAAAGTGGATATTACCACTATTATCTTTAAACATAAGCTGCAAATTAGTGTAAAAACCTGGACCAAATACGTGTCAAATAAAGAGTTGCTTTACTATGTATTATCTTTAAACATAAGCTACAAATTAGTGTAAAAACCTGGACCAAATACGTGTCAAATAAAGAGTTGCTTTACTATGGTTGACCAAAAAAAATTTTAAAAGGAAAATTATTTGGAATTGTAATTAAGTCTAGTCCAGATAAATCGAATCTCTTGGTTTGAATATTTACCTAGTTAATGTTTTAAAATAAATATTATTAGTTATTTTAGCCAATAAAAATATAATTTAATTTAAAAAAAATCTTCAGATTATATTTTTTTTAAAATATTGATACCACAACATATCAAATTATAATGATAAAAATCATAACATATTACATTGCATTGGTAAAAATTATTGTTAAAAATCAAGACTCAATTTATGAACTTTACTTAGATTTAATAACTTTAATTTTTTAAAACTATTTTCTACTTAAATGTATAATAAAAAAATACACTCATGAAGTTAAATATAAATCTCATGTTAAAATATTTGTAACATATATTTGTTTGAGACTACAATAATTCTATAGAAAACAAACAAAAACCAATTCTAAAAGGTAATTCTCAATAAACCTAAATCAACCCGCCACATATACAATTCAAGTCATGAATTTAATAACTGGGTTTAATAACTTATATTTTTTAAAAAAAAAAATTATTTAATTATACCTCCCAAAATCAAGCTAATCACATACTACATGTTTTTTTAAGATTATTTTTTATTTAATTATACCTCCCAAAATCAAGCTAATCACATACTACATGTTTTTTTAAGACTTGATAAATAACATTAGAAAGAGAGAAAAAATCAAAGTGAAAAAGAAGGGGGAAGATGTGTGGACGGTGAAGTACCATTAGCAAAACCAGATCTTTTAGTGTTTTTTTGGTAATTATGATACTTGAAAGATTTACGATCAAGCGAACAAAGTTCATTATTTTTATGAATTTTTTGCTAATTCAAGGAGCTCAACGTTCATATCAAGATTGTCCATTTTTCGCTGGGGTGAAGGAGGACAAGAACAAAATAAATAAACATTTAGATGATAACTCAATTTCAGATTGATCCTTCTCCCATAGTCGCTATACAATGGGAGTACTGGTTGAAGGATATTGGGGAAAAGTACCCAAGCAACCAAAAAAATGCATGTCTGTAACATACACGTGTATAAATACGATAAGAGAGCATCTTAATCACAATCTTATCATAGGAGTTAAAGCTACTCTAGCATTTTTCTTGTCAGACTTACCCGCATGTTAAACGCCAAAAAAGTGTACAGTGCAGCGATGCACACAAAAGCCATCCATGATACACGAACATTGTCCGCAGCAAATAATAACCACCACAGCATGTCTTATATCAGATCACCAATATTCATAGGCATTTCATCAATCTGGGTGCTGTAATACTGCTCAATATCTCTTAAAATCCTGATATCATCACTTTTGACAAAATTAATGGCAACACCCTGCAAACCATCACAATAATATTAAACGGTTAGCTAGCAAAGGATAGTGATCAAAAAGGTAATAAGACAGCACAGATGAGTATCCGAGACACAATCTTTTCCAATGAAAATCAAATTGTGCAGCTGTAGATCTAAAAAGACAACAACTCAGTGAAGTCATTTTTAAAAAAGTGATCAGTTCAAGTTATACAGGTGTCAATTCTCATTAGTAGAAGTACTCAAAATCAAGTATATACCTTACGTCCGAAACGGCCTGAACGACCAATTCTATGAATGTAAAGCTCTCGATTGTTTGGAAGGTCATAGTTGATCACCAAAGAAACCTGAAGAGAAAAATGACAGCAGCATGAAGAAGATGAGACCAAACTGCAGAGGTATGCCCTTAAACAAAACAATCTATAAAAGTACGCATGTCTGGCCAAATAGAACAGGAGGAAAAAAAGGAACATCCAATATAATCAGATCATGAAAATGAAAGCTCACTGCTGTTGCATTAGCTAGTTATCAAGAGATTTGGTCAAGAATAAGCTATTTTTACACAGCATAACGATGATATTAAAATGAATATCATCATTTGAGTGGTCAATGCAAGTCTGAAAACACATTTTACTTGTGGCACAGTAACAAAAGAGCTAATGAAACAGCAAATTGGGTTGTTCCAAGGCCAGGTGAGACCATCAACCTCAATATAATATGGTTAAAATAGAGAAACCCATCTCAACATCATATATATATATATATATATATATATATATATATATTCATATCAAGAAAGGAAAGCATCATCATGCATGTGAAAACACTGCATCCAATGAAGACATTATAAGGGAGGAGGAAGATGAGAAACTTACTTGTTGAACATCAAGCCGCCGAGCCCAAACATCAGTTGTGATCAGTACACGAGTTTCACCCAGACGGAAATTAGACATAATTGCATCTCTCTCCCTCTGAGGCATGTCACCATGCATTGCTGAGACAGTAAAGTTAAATTCAACCATCTTGGCAGTTAACCAATCAACCTGTCCAAAAGGAAGAGAACTCTTAGGGCTACTTTTCAACAAGAAAACATCATCCAAAAGCATGCACAATTTTTTTTTTTTCAGGAGGGCACATCTAACCCATAATAGAGTAAACATCTGTTGCAAAATTAAAATCACTCTTCCTCTATCACTTATTTCAATAGCTTGAAAACCTATCTCTCAATTTCTGTGCATTAATACACAGTCACACATCAAAATCCCAGTTTCGGAGAATGGGTATTGGAACAACAAAGAACATCCTTTATCATCCTACTCCAAGAGAATGTGCTGGTTAACTTCGATATCAAAATTATGGTTTCTGTAAATAAGTTTGAATCTCAAATATCTTAAACAACTGGTTAGGTCCAAACAAGTTTGGTGCAGATCTGTTGCAAAACTTAAATTACTTTTCCTTTATCACTTATTTAAATAGCATGAAAATCTATCTCTCAATTTCCATGCATTAATACACAGTCACGCATCAAAATCCCAGTTTCCATACATAGAGAACAGAACGGGTACTGGAACTACAAACATCCTTTATCATCCTACTCCAAGAGAAGTGCTGATTAACTTCAACATCAAAATTATGGTTTCTGTAAATAAGTTTGCATCTCATGTATCTTAAACTGGTCAGGTCTTAACAAGTTCTGTGCAGACAACATGCAAAACACCAGCTATGTAATAGAACAGTCCATATATCATGATCAAATGACAGTACAATTGCTTTATGTTGACACTGGTATGGAATGTTAAATTCTTCATAAAATACTGCTATCAAAAAGGAAATTATGCGAGTAACAGCTTTACCTTCCGCTTTGTATTGCAGAAAATAACAGCTTGAGTGATGGTAAGAGTATCATAAAGGTCAGTCAGAGTCTCAAATTTCCACTCTTCTTTTTCCACAGCAACAAAAAATTGCTTGATGCCCTATCACCATAGAAACACAACAAAAAGGAGCAGTTCTCATTAGATACCATCTTTGCACCCATAGGAAGTTTATATACAGCTCAAATAATGCTCACCTCCAAAGTCAACTCATCACGTTTCACAAGAATCTTTACAGGATCTGTCATGAACTTGCTTGTAATCTCCAGAATTTCATTAGGAAGAGTGGCAGAAATCAGGACAACCTACAATATATTCATAAATTAGAAAAGGGAACGTAACCAATAGCTATAAGCTTGCCTATTGTAAGAGAACACACAACTACACATCACATCAAATCACAAGATTACACTGACACCAGCAAGACAGCTGCTTGCAAAAACTAGGAACTACACATTTTCATGATGAAAATGCTATGCTCCATCCCATATAGACATACAATATTTAATGTTTACATACAAACCACTAAAGAGAAAGATGTAAGCTAAGTTGAATGAGGAAAGGCTAATGACTACTAAACTAGGTTAATATTGTTTTCCTCATTTTCTATGATAAGTTAGATGGGCAGAGAAAGGGAACCCAAACAAAATACCTTGATGGAATACAATTGATGGGACCAATAAGTTAGCTGACATAACAAAACAGAGATCAATACTTAAAAAAATATGGAGAGAGCATAGACCTGAAGCTCGGGTGGAAGATATCTGTAAACATCATAAATTTGATCCTTGAACCCTCTGCTCAAAATCTCATCAGATTCATCCTACAGACAAATAATAGAACAAAATTCAGCAACAATTCCTCAAGGCATGCATTACCATACTTACACCTTTAAGGACTGCCCAAACAAATGCAAGGCAAATTGAGATTAACTCACAAGAACTAGTACTCTGATGGCTCTAGTACGTAATGACCTTCTCTTGATCATGTCACAGACTCTGCCTGGAGTTCCAGAGACAACATGAACTCCATATTCTAGTTTTCGAATATCCTCGCCCACACTTTTTCCTCCAATGCATGCATGTACTTGTATATTAATGTTTTCACCAATTGCCGTTATCACTTTCTCTGTCTGTTCTGCCAGTTCCCTTGTTGGTGACAATATCAGTGCCTGGACCCTGTAAAATCAAGCCAATATAAGCATGGCAGAGACATCAACTGTAATGTCAACCCAGATTAAACCAGCCCAAATTTCAAGAACCAGTATTCCCTTAATTATTTACAACAACTACAATAAGACTAATGTTTTTTTTTTGTCAACTTTAGGATTTTAGCATAAATATCATTAGAATACCAAAAACTTAAATTACAACAAACAACAACCTTATCTATTAAAACCTATGACATTAACACTAACAACAACTCGTCAAACATAACCACTGATAAAACCCATATTCGAAAAAACTCCATTTATTTCTAGAATTAGGAAAAGGAAAAACAATTTTAGGTATCTATAATTATGTCCTTTAAAGTTATTCAAATTCTACCACATAAAAATTAGGGTTTGTGTAACGAATCAAAATATCTAACTTAATCAACGAACACTAGCATAACCACGTTAAAAAAACTTTGGGGTTGCAACAATGAGGACGACATCTGATTTTATTACACAACACTAACAGAACTCACATAAAAAAGAACAAAAAAACTAGGGATTTCAGCATTCGGTAAAGAAACCACCTTAGCTATCCAAAGTTATGTCTTTTCAATTTAGGGTTCCTCTAATAAAACAAAATTTGTAATCCCATTAGACATTTTTTTACAAAAAAAACATAAAGACTTTACCATCAGGGTTCATCAATTCAAACATAATTACACAAATTAACAAAAAACATATCACAAAATCTCAAAAAATCAAAGCATTTTTTTTTAAAAAAAGAGAGAAGTGCAAAAACCTACTCTCTGTTAGCAGTATCAACAAGCTGACAAGCAGTAAGGGCAATCATAGAGGTCTTTCCAGTACCAGATTGAGCTTGTGCTATAACATCACGCCCTTTAATTATTGGCATTAAAGCTCTTTGTTGTATCGCTGATGGCTTTTCATATCCATAATTATAAATTCCTCTCAGTACATCTTCTTTCAATCCCATCTCATCGAAACTTGCAACAGGTTCTATTCCCTCCGTGGTTTCAAACACTAACTTTTCATCCTCCGCCGCAGCCCTCCTTGCGCTCCGCCCAGCCGGTACTACGCTTGTGGGCATTGCCGCTGATTATTTTAGAGGTGATTTTTTCTCGAGCTAAGGAGAGATGTGAATTAAGAGGATTATATTATTACGGTCTTCTTTGAGAGAGTTCGGAACTTTTGTTTAAATGCAATAATGGGCTTAGCCCGTTAATTTTATTTCTTATGGGCTGGGTTATTAAACCATCTATGTTATATTTTAACCAAGTAATATAAACATGTTGCCCGCACTTTACTGTGGGCTGGACCGACTTTTCTATAAAGTAAAAAAATAATGCTAGGGCACTACAAGCTTGCTTTAAAGAAAAAAAGAAAAATCTACGTTAATTCAATTGCATGATAGAAAATACAGCGAAAATAAATAAATCAACTCTTAAAATAAAACATGATATCAATAACCATAAAAAAAGGAATGCTAGCAAAGCTAAATTTTAAAGATAACCCTATGTCATGTGAAAATTGAAATAAAAAGATAAAAAAATAATTTTTCTTGATTCAACTCAAACTAGTATGTAAATTCACAACTCGAATAGTAAGGTTAAGTTATTTTTATAGAAAGCAAATTGAATAAAATAATAGTCATTCCCTAACAATCCAAATGTAAAAGGCTTAAATTAAAAAAAAAATCAGCTAATAAAAAAAAACCTAAAAAAAAAAACACTTTAAAACTTGGGTAGTTTCATCAAATCTTACAAAGTAGATCATGCAAATGGTATAATCTAATAGAAGGTAAAATGAGAAAAATAACAAAGCTTTATTTTAGAAAAAGCTCAATTTTAAAAGGTGAAACCAAAAAATAAATATATAAAAAATTACACAAAAAAAAAATGCTTGGGTTCACTAGCCAAACCTATTACCAAGGTCATGATATTAAAATAATCTGAATAAAAAGAAACTAAATAAATTCACAAAGCCCTTTTTAAAAAAAATAAACAATGCCAAATGATGACATCGAAATTAAAAAAAATAAATATATATATATATATAAAAATCTATGGAAGGAGGTGTCGCCTCATATGAAAAGAGATGTCTCCTTGTATGAAAGGAGGAATCATGGCATTTAGTCGTCAAATGATGCCTCACATGCCACCTAAAAGGTATAAAATTCTTGTCAGCATACGCCAATCATTTTTTATTTTTAAATTTTATTCTACTGTTATTAAAATACTAAATTGTATATCAACCAAATCCACTATAACTAAAAATCAAGATGAAAATACCAGAAAAATCTTAAAGTGCTAGTCAAAGAAATTTTGACTTTAAGGGTAATTTGGTCATTTTCTTATGCTTTGAAAATATATATATATATATAAAGCAAACTTACGTGAGTCTTCTAAACTTATCTTAATCTTACTAACTCATAAACCCATGAAATCTTAGACCAAGCCTCAATCATGAGCCTCAATTCATAACCAATTTAATATTAATGAATAAAAAAATATCAATCTAAAAAACCTAATAAAAATATTAATTAAAAGAATAATAATAAAATGATAGGGAAAAACTTAAGGAGGATTAAGTTGTCAAAAAAAAAAAATCAATCCTAAAATCTCAAATAAAAAAACAATCAAAAGAAAATGATCAAAGTTGTTATATGAAAAAATTAATAGAGGATGAAAATGAAAAATAATTTCAATTTCATAAACTATTTCAATTAAAAAAATATTAATAAAAAATAAAGATCAAATTTAAAAGATTGTTTTGAATTTTCAGAATGTCAACGTGAAATTCAAAGAGAAAAAAAAAAGTTTATTAAAATCAACACAAAGATGATTAGGTCACATGTGCATGTTAAAGGATAGAAAGATCACCTAGACGATTTGAATATTGTCATAAAAGTCACTATTTGGCCACCCGACACCATCACACACATTACAAGAAGGTTGCAAGATCTTCTCATGCATCAACCTTTTTTTAAATAATATTTTATATTTATCAAAATACTTAATTGCTCCTAATTCAAATTAATTATATATATAAAAAAAACATAATGAAAATATAATAATGCTCTTAGGCACTAGTTTACTTTCTTTTTTTTAGCTTTTAAAGGTAATTGTGTTATTTTATGTGATAAGAACATGAAAAGACTAAAAAGACCTTGAATGGGAAGATATTTCTTTTTCTTTTAATGATATTTGCATCATTTTACAGTGCTAAAAATATAAAAAGGCTAAAAATCCCTTAGATGAAAGCTATATATTTTTTTTAAGGATAATTACGTTATTTTACCATATAAAAAAATAGAACATGTTGTTCTAATCAATATAATTAATATGATAATATCTAATGAATCTCATGGAAAAAAATGTAGTGCCCCCAATAAGAAGTTTATTGGGTTTTTTTAAAAGAGCAAAATATTCATTATATTATTTTAATTTTCAATATAATGAGTCTTGCTACAATAAAACCATAGTGACTTTTAGTTTCTTTCTTTAATTTTAGTTTTTTTTTAAATATAGTATAAATAAGAAAAAAAATAAAATTTTTATTAAGATATGATATTTTTATATCCAAAAAAAAAACTATAAAACTAGTTTGATAAACCAGACAACTAAAATTTGAAAATTCCTAAATTTATATTAAGTTTAGAAAACACATTTTAGAGATTCTTCACATTTTTTCATTTATAATTCTTTCATTTGAAAAATTGTTTTTCAAATGAAAAAAATGACATGAACAATACACTTTTCTTTATACATATAAGAACTTTTTAACAATTTAAAAGATTAATAATTTTATATTTTTGTATTTACTTAGTATCATAAATATTGTTTTTATTATAAATCTAATATAAAGATTTTTTAGTTACCAATATAACTTTTTCATTATAATTTTAATATAAATAAAATAAAACTAATATTCTATAATTAGATTAGAAAAAATATAAAATAATAAGATGACTATTATAAATGACGGTTTATTTTTTTTATTAAAAATAAATGTAATCTTGATGTTTTTTTTTTATTGAAAAATTCATTTTTTTTCTAACTAAAGAACATGTTTTTCAAGTTGTCAAGTAAAAACAAAACTGAAATAAAAAAGAAAAATAGTTTTTTATTTATATTAATGAAAAGAACTTAAAGATCTCGATCATATATATTTATCTTTTGAAAGCTCTTAAAAGCATTCATCATTGAAAGTCTTGTACTTTTTATAAATATTGCATGTATGTTGCATCATGATGATCATTTTTTTTTTAATTAAGATCCCTAATATAAAAAAAAAAGGAAATTTTTGTTCTTTATTAGTTAAAAAAATACAAAGTTTGGAATTACCATCTAATATTTTAGTTACTAAAAACCTTATGTGATCTCATAATCTAAATTAGTAGATTAATTGTGTATAGAGAAAATGTATCACTTTTAGTACACTCAATCTAAAATACGTTGCATGTTTATTTGCTTGATTACTAAGCCACTGATGCATTTTTTTTAATTACTGATTTGTCTAATGGTTAAAAGTTGGTCCACTCCATGGAGTAAAGCTTGATTTGGGAGTCCAAACATATTTTTGCATTTGTTTCTTTTAATACTAGATTGATTTTTTTTAATGTTTTTGAAATATAGGCCAAGTTCTCCTTAATTTAATAAATTTCTTATTAAATTCAAAAATACATGAAAAAAATATATACAAAATATTTTTTTCTTGAATTTTAGTATTTAAAAAAAAAATGCTAAATCATACCATATTTTTTTTTTATTATATACTTGAACTATATCAATTATCAAACTTTTAATTTCTTTCAAATTGCCCCTTGATTTGATTAATTTTAGTTTATGAACTTATACGTATTTTGCACTTTGCTCATTAGGTTTGAAAATTTTCAATTTGACCCTCAATCTGCCTTCAATCTTTAAATTTCTTTCCATTGAATCCCTGTTGCACCATTTTAGCCTTTGACAATTTTAATTATGTGTATAGTTTTTCAGTCTTTGTAAATGAATTCAAATTGGTTTTTCAAATTTTGTTTTCTTCGATTGACTTAATTAAATTAAAAAAACCTATTAGAAGTTTAATTAAGTTTAAACTTAATTAATTCTCTTAATATTTTTTCAATTGACTTTAAAATTTATTTTTCTTCAATTAATTCTTTGATTGAATAAAAAAACCCATATGAAGTTTAATTAAATCCTTAACCTTAATTAATTCTTCTAGTTTTTATCCAATTAACTTTCAAACTTAATTTTTCTTCAATTAATTCCATATATAAGTTGATTATACCTATTAGAAGTTTAATTAAATTGTTAAACTTAATTAGTTCTTTTAAATTTGATCAAGTTTGGATTGCATCTTTAATTTTTTTTATTAGGTATTTTTTCATCCTATTTTGTGAAAATATCTGATATTACTACTTTTGTAACATTTTAGTATGTTACAGTTCAAAGACTTATCTCCTCATAGCCTGAAAATATTTTAGAATTTTAAATTTTAATTTTTTTAGATTTTTGATTAAAAATATTTATTTTTTAAAAAACAATTTTGGAGATTAAAAATTGAGTTATAACAATAAGCATGTTAAAAGGAGGGACAGAGTGACACGACGAAAAGATTGATGTCTTCTCCCAAGTGCAGGAGTGTCGAAGTAATAAATAACCCGGCAAGACCGGGGTCGAATCACAGGGAGGTTAATTGTACAAATTATAAACAACAATTATAAACAATAATAATAGCAATAACAACAACAATAATAGTAGTAGCAATAATAATACTAATAATACTACTAGTAGTAGTAGTAATAATAATAATAACGATAATAAAGAAAAAAAAGGAGAAGAAGAAGAAGATGATGAGAACTTTGAGATGAAATATTAATGTAACGATTAAACAATGATAATAACAAATGTCAAGGTTAGAGGATCCACTAATGGTATGTCAAACAAGTATAGTATAAACTCTTATTATTCAATTGGAAACCACACACAAAGGAGGTTCCAATTTGATTATAGATTGTTAACATGATTACATTAGTCATCTTATTCAATTAATGCTAGTACTTGTAAATCTCGTCAAGCATTCATGATTATAACTTATGTTAACAACAAATCAAGTTCCTTTCATAGCTCAGGTGTCGGTTATACCATACAG